TCCCCCTGGGTAGAGTGCTGTGGCATTACAGCTCACAGCAACCTCCAACTCCTGGGCTCAAGTGAGTCTCCTGCTTCTGCCTCCCAAGTAGCTGGGACCACAGGCGCCTGCCACAACGCCCAGCTATTTTTTGGTTACAGCCGTCATTGTTGTTTGGCGGGCCAGGCGGGATTTGAACCCATCACCTTAGGTGTATGTGGCTGGCACCTTAGCCACTTGAGCCACAGGCACCAAGCCTTTTTGTTTTTTTTTTGTAGAGACAGAGTTTCACTTTATCGCCCACGGTGGAGTACTCTGGCGTCTCAGCTCACAGCAACCTACGGTTCTTGGGCTTAGGTGATTCTCTTTCCTCAGCCTCCCGTGTAGCTGGGACTAAAGGCGCCCCCCACATCGCCTGGCTATTTTTTTGTTGCAGATTGACTGGGGCCGGGTTTGAACCTGCCACCCTCGGTATATGGGGCTGGCGCCCTGCCCACTGAGCCACAGGCACCACTCCACTTTTTTTTTTTTCTGAGACAGTCTCACTCTGTCACCCTGGGCAGAATGCAGTGGTGTGATCATGGCTCACAACAACCTCAAACTCCTCGGCTCAAATGATCCTTCTGTCTCAGCCTCCTGAGTAGCTGGAAGTACAGGTGCCCACCATCATGATGCCCAGCTTTTTCTATATGAATGAAGGTGGGATCTCATGCTTGCTCTGGAAATTCTGAGCCCAATCAGTTCTCCTGCTTTGGTTTACCAAAGTGCTAGAATTATAGGCATGACCTGTGGGCCTAGCCTATAACCATTTTTTTTTTTTTTTTTAGAGACAGAGTCTCACTTTATTGCCCTTGGTAGAGTGCCCTGGTGTCACAGCTCACAGCAATCTCAAACTCCTGAACTTAGGTGATTCTCTTGCCTCAGCCTCTCGAATAGCTGGGACTACAGGCACCCGCCACAATGCCTGGCTATTTTTTTTGTTGCAGTTTGGCCAGGGCCACGTTTGAACCCACCACCCTCACCACCCTCAGTATGTGGGGCTGGTACCCTACTCACTGAGCCACAAATGCCGCCTGCCATAACCATTTTTATTTGGACAGTTCTGTACTGTTAAGTATATTCACACTGTTGTGCAAAAGATCTCCAAAGTGCCTTCCACTTTGTAAAACTGGAACTCTGTATCCCAGATTAAACACTAATCCCCCCTTCTCCTATCTCCTGACCCCTGGCAAACACCAATCTACCTTTTGTCTGTATGAATTTGATCACATAGAATCACACAGCATTTGTTTTTTTTGCCCCTAGTTAGCAGTATAAAAATCACCACCAAGCTTGGTGCCTGTAGCTCAGCAGCTAGGGCGCCAGCCACATACACTGAAGCTGGCAGGTTCGAATCCAGCCTGGGCCTGCCAAACAACAATGACAACTACAACCAAAAAAGCTGGATGTTGTGGCAGGCACCTGTAGTCCCAGCTACTTGGGAGGCTGAGGCAAGAGAATTGCTTAAGCCCCAGAATTTGAGGTTGCTGTGAGCTGTGACATCATAGCACTCTACCAAGGGTGACAAAGTGAGACTCTTTCTCAAAAAAGTGAAAAATAAAATAAAATAAAAATCACCACCCCTTTGGCCAGGAACCATGACTCATGCCTGTAATCCTAGCAGTCTGGAAGGCCAAGGCAGGTAGATTGCCTGAGCTCAGGAGTTCAAGACCAGCCTGAGCAAGAGCGAGACCTCCGGCTCTAAAAATAGCTGGGCATTGTGGCAGGTGCCTATAGTCCCAGCTACTCAGGAGGCTGAGGCAGGAGCTGTGAGCTATGATGCCATAGCACTCTACTGAGGGCCACAAAGAAAGACTCTGTCTCAAAAAAATAAATAAATAGGATCAGCGCCTGTGGCTCAAGTGGCTAAGGTGCTAGCCACATACACCTAAGGTGGTGGGTTCGAATCCAGCCCGGGCCCACCAAACAACAATGACGGCTACAACCAAAAAATAGCCGGGCATTGTGGCAGGCACCTGTGGTCCCAGCTACTTGGGAGGCTGAGGCAGGAGAATCACTTGAGCCCAGGAGTTGGAGGTTGCTGTGAG